GCTCTTACACTTTAATTCACTATTTTGTGAAATAAAACTTAAGGAAAAAGGATTACCTTCGATATCAGTAAAACCTCGGATACATGGTGTTACGTGGTGTCACTTGATGGCGGGCAAGCGGGAAAAGGAATTACGTATGTAAATGGCGCAGGTTAGTGCTGGTCTCGTCAAACCTGAGATTATACGCGCGCGATAGAAGTGCGTACGTATCACTTCCGTACGTTTGAGTCAAACCTGAGATTATACGTGTGCGAAAAAAGTGCGTACGTATCACTTCCGTACGTTTGAGTCAAACCTGAGATTATACGTGTGCGAAAGAAAACCAAATAATACTGCAAAAGATATTATAGGATTGATCTCAGTATTTAACGGATAATCACAGTAGAATGAGTATGAAAATGGGATGATACGCAGGATATCGTGTGCTGTTAGGGGTGTATTGAGACTAGTTCAACACAGTCTTTTGTTGGAATATTTCTTATATTTAACATCAAGTAAAATTGACCAGAATTACGGAAGTCATGTCTTAACCTAATGGAATTATAAAAGTTATTTATTCGTATGATTTACAATTTTCGCACTCTGAACATAAATCAAATTATAAGTCATAACATAAACTATGAACCGTTTGCAACAATTTTTAAACATTTGTAGATAAAGTTTGACGCAACGCCAAATCTTATATTAGCGCAAAGTCTTATGTCGATGCAAAAGTCTTAAATTAACGCAGAAACTTATATTAACGCAAAATCTTAAATTAATGGAGAAACTTACCCAGATAGCACATGATATTCTTAGTATATTCTATAAATGTACGAATGTACGGAGAATATACGAGAATATTTTCACAATATTCTTAGAATATCTGAAATATGATATCTTTTTTGAGATACACTAAGAATATGCTCAGAATATCTGAAATATAATTTTCATTTTTAGATATACTGAAAATATGCTTAGAATATCCAAAATATGATTTCCGTCTTCAGATATACTGAGAATATGCTCAGAATATCCGAAGTATAATTTCCGTTTTCAGATATTGTGAGAATATGCTCAACATATCTAAAATATAATATTCAATTTTTGTAGTATTCCTACAGATGGCGGTATGAGTGCTATAATCTAGCGTTTAATAAATTGTTAGATTACAATCTATTCTAAGTGTATCCACGTGAAAAGATTGTGTGAAAAGCATGTGAGAAGATTAATATTGTATTAATACAATATTAATACGAGTGTTATTAATACAATATTAATACGAGTATTTATATAAACGATAAGTAATATCAAGAAACGTCTTAATTATATATATTTCAATTTCATAATAAAACCTAACCTGAAAGCATAACTTAAGTTATGCTAATTAGCCTAAAAATTGCAATTATAATTCAAATCTTTATAAATATATTTCAGCATTATTGGATTGCAAAACATTCAGTTAATGGTCACATGCGATTATTTATTTACGTACATTTTTGATATTGGTATATTACTTGTATAAATATTTTTTTTCTTATATTTTTCTTTTTAAGTACACATATTTATATATAAAATGTCACATAAAAAATCAGGAAAAAATATATATTCTTTTTCTTCGCGACATCGCCGTAGGCTTATTAAACAAGAAGTAGATGTAGTATGTCATGCTCTCTTTGATAATAATGCATCATGTAGCAATTCTGTTAATATACATCAACAATCTTGCGATCAACTAATTAGTAATAAAGATGATTATTCAATATGTAGTTCTGAACATGATACGCGCAAAAGTATTGAGAAAGATGATAGTGATGAAATAATAGAATTGGAAGAGAATATTGTAGTTTACCATAACGTTAATCAGGTAAACATTCAACATGAGATAAGTAATGAGGATGATAATGATTGTCAATATACACAAAGATTTCTTGCATCTTGGGCAAATAAATGTAAAATTTCACATTCAGCTTTATCTTTATTATTAAGTGGATTAAAAAAAGTAAAGGGTCTTGAAAAATTACCTTCGGATTCACGAACTCTTTTAAAAACTCCAAGATTTACAAATATATTAACTGTTGCTCCTAGACAGCGTGTAGACGGGGCATTACGGATTTAATCGAATTCTCTTGTATTGAGTTATTTTGTAAAATACATAGTTATATACTTTGTTAAAATCAGTGTCGTTAATTATTACGATTATATCCAGTCGTTTCCAAGTCCAAGTCGCGTCGAAGATCAGCCGTTTATTTATCGATCTTGAATAAATAAGGTCGCGCAAAGTCAACGGTTAATTATTCGAAATTACAAACGTTTAGTCGAGTGATATAATAAATCTTTTATTTGAACTGCTCTATAAAATTCAGTAACACAAATTATTATCGAGGATCTCCTCGTAGATTCGTAAGTATCTTACACAGTAAAAAATAAAATGTTAATTTTAACATTTTTTGCATGTCCCAGAAAGTCCACTCTAAATTTTAAGTTAAAATAACTATTATTCATTGTGTTACTTATTGACAAATTAAAAATGTTAAGTAATTGACACAATGTTTTACATTTAGTTTTGTTATTGTGACTTTAAATGTGATGTGAAAATTACATATAAATTATTTAAAAACTACATAAAAGAGTAGTTACAATAATTCATAGAAAATGTTAATAGAACATTTTCATTCGTATAATATGAATAAAAAAATTGATTTATTTTAACATAATTCTTTAGTTATCTAAAATAGTAACATAAATAATATGTTAATATTTTT